AATATTTATTAAGTGCTATTATAAATACCAGGATATATCTTTTGCCCGCTTACAAGATTGGCCACAGCAGCAGCAAAAGATAACCCTGACATTTATAATAGCACTTAATAAATATTCTTTCAGTAACCCTCACATTCTTAAAATAATAACATAAGCTTTACGGTGTAAGGTAAGCAATTATTTGATGTTTCCATTGATGTAAGACTAAGGGCCAAACTAGATGTGGCACTTAACATATCACTAACCAACAACTGTTTTCTTAAAAGTAATAGTAGCCACAATCACTCATAGTTTTTGTTGAGAGTGTAATGTACAGGGTGAGAATATAAGACACCAAGTATTTTCAACTGCTTCAGGTAGATCCTTTTCTTGTCCTATTTGGGGATCCCTGGTATTCTTTTGTCCAGGTGCTAATTAGGTCTGACCCTACATAGGTTTCAAAAATAGATGAGATCGGGGTTCAACCCTTTTCTTTCTTGGTGTAGTCCTGGTGAAAATCTTCTCCATCTCCAAAACTATTGTGTAAACCCTGAATAGAAAGCTCCCATTGATGACAATACTAACTGTCCTTCTTGGCTCAATAACAGTTGGATTGAGGTTTTAATCCAAGTATCAGTAAGAATGGGGAGGGTTAAAACTCCTTTTGTCACGGGCTGTGATGTGATCACGAAGATGCCCCCCTCTGCACCTGCTTCTGTTTTAAATACAAAACACAAACTGGAGTCAGAACATCTGACATGTTTACCTCATCATCTGGTTCGGTCCTGAGGTTGAGCGAATGGCAGAAAGGGGTACACAGCAACTTTTGGTGGAGTATGGGCCAGATATAATTTCCCAACTTCAAGGCCTTTGCTGTTGTGCTACACCAGCCCATAAAGTACAAATCATTAAATATGATGTACATCTATGGAAGATATAAAATGTCTTAATGTGAAAACTATCCTAGCATTTTGTTCTTGGATATGAAATCACAAGACTTGAAGGAAAACGTTCAACTTGTGGAAAGGCTCTAGATGAAGGGAACGTCGGCATTTGCAGAATGCCTGCTAAAGATCCATCTTTACCCAAATTCCATTATTTAAAGGCATGTCTCAAACAGAGAGTAATTTGAGATTTAGGTATGCCAAATGCTTACAAGCTACAATGCTTGGGCTAATTGCTTTTCTGGTAGCAGTTAGTAATACTGGAAAATTCTAGAAAAACACATTTGTTGCTCATTGTGAAATAATGAGCATGTTACTCCTGCTTCTTTAATTATAGAGCAGATAGAAACACTTCCAAACTTTTAAAACTGGTGTGTAATGTATAGTCTGTTGTGTTGTTTTTTAACTGTGTGCTGAGTTGATTTTTATTGTTTATATGGTGGGGTTGGGTTTTATTTGTTTTTAATGAGTTTATGGTTAAATTTTGTTTTACTTGCTTTTTTATAGTTTTATAAGTGCTAGTTTATAGTGGAAAGGCAGGGTATAAATATAACAAAACAAACAAGAGATGCCATTCCTTTATGGTCAACAACAGAAACTAGTGTGAAACCAAACATTTGGGTGAGGGATGCTATAGATGTAATTTTTTTGTATTGGCTTGCAACTAGACTCAGTTGTTAGTCTTTCTTTTGTTAGATTCATGAAACATCTGAGAAAACATAGCTGAAAAGCATAGGAATGGGCTTGCATACGTGATTTGATACTCCTGCCGGTTGCTAGAACATTGCTGTGGGATCCTTGGAAGGATTTTCCGGTGTTTTAAGGGCTCTGCAGGCCTATTGAGGAGAAAAGGAACTTAAATAAATACTCAGATGTTGGCAAGATGACAAATCTGCCTTGCCTTTTCCTCTCCTCTCATCCAGGAACAACAGACAGCAAAGAATACCTTTAGGTTGGCAAAACCCCTTGTCAGAAGTTTTTAAGTGAATATATTGCCCCAGAAGGTATATAAGATGCATGTTCAGTGATGTAAAGGAATTGTGAATCACCGGAGCATTCAGTGCCACTTTGGGAGACAAATTGTTCAACTTGTGTGTCAAAAAAGTGATTATCCTTGGGCAACAGAACAAGTCTAAAGCAAAAAGATTAAGTGTTTATGACTTTTCTTCCTTGAAGCAGGCTTGAGTTATTTGTTTTCAGCTGAAAATCTTGAGGCAGAAGAGGAGAAAGACTTCTCAGATAAGTCAGTGCTGAGGTGAATGCAGTGGTAACTTTATTGTACTATTGAAAACAAACAAACAATCAAACAAACAAAATATAAAACACCTACAGAGAAAATCTTGCGAATTACAGTTCATGGGAGCACAACAGGTAGAAGCCAGATTAAGCCTATGTTCTGGTATGTGTGGATAAGTGTTGAGAACACTAGTGATGTACGTAACCTGTACTGGATCTTATTTTTATTCATGAACACAATCCGTTTCAGAGCTTAAGTCTTCTAAAATTTAAACAGTTTCCCCTATTGATTTAGACCATGTCCAATATGAGTTATTAAAGCTAGTCAGGTTTAACATGCAAACTTTGTAATTGTTTTATCAATTTGTTTTATCACTTTGTCAATTCAGACATATCTGACCCTTGGCAATTTCATGAGCCAGCTCTCTCCATGATTTCTGATCTTGTACAGCTTCTTT